TCTATGGACAAAGTGGGGAGTGGGGAGATAGCACATGGCCTCCTAAGTAGCTTATTTGTAAGTAGAAATAAAGCTGCTCTCAGAAGCAAGTTGAAAGCCTCTATGTACGACAGATTTTGGGACCGTTGTCTGTTTTGATTCCAATCAGATCAAGAACACTTCCGCCATTTTTTAGACTGAGAGTCATGGACACAGATAAGATCTTCCCTAAGGTCACACACACAGTGTGTGGCAGACCCAGGTGCAGAATGGAAGATCTTACATTGTCAGAGATTATGCTGGCAAAAAGAAAATCTCGATGTGGTTTCCACTCAAAATACAACTGAACACAATTCACTATGAAGTAATTAAGTATAGAAATTATGATCACACTTCTCAAAGTTTCTGTAATTATATCACTAGATATCATAGCATTCTGACAGTCTGATTTTAAATGATTTGATGTAAAGAATATCTAAAATATTTTCCATGTTAGACACATATTTAAAGGCTGAATGGATTGATTGCTACAGAATAATAGTAAAAATAAGAAAATTGAGCAAATGGATCAGTTCAAATTTTAGCGTGGGTGAATGTGCCTTAGATGCGAAGGTGGTCAGTGTCAGTTCAAAGCAAGCATTCCCTTGGAATTTAATGTGCTGTTTTAGTCAGGAAAATAATGAAGAATCAAAAAGTATTTCAAATGCTCATTGAGATATTTAGAAAGAAGATTATTACTCAATTGGCTAGAGAATAAAAGTATTTTGATAAAAGGCACTGGGTTAAAAGAACATGGTTCTGGAAGCGCAAAGCTACTGAATTAAATTTGAAGTTTCCTTTGTTACTAATATTTCTGACTCTACAACTTTCCATAAAAAAGCACATAGTATAGTCATATTATACTTTAGTTCTTAATCCAACTGGGCATCTTTTGCATCGCCAAGAATATAACATTCTTACCTTTTCTCTGCTTCTCCCTAGATATTCATTCATCATCTTCTTCCTCTGCCAAACAAAAATACCAGCCTGTACCATATTCTAGAATACAGCAACAGTCTACTGTCAAATAGAATTCTATTGTGAAATACAGTATATTGTATTGTTAAAAGATTTCAGAGCAAGAAGGGTCCCAGAAGGTCATACATAGCTCTAACACTTCTTTCAATATTTCGGAATGTAAGAAATGCCACAGTAGTGTTTATCTCACTTACATAACCCTTTCCATAGGAACAGGCTTGAAAAGTTAAGATAGGACCTTGTAGGCAACCTGCAGGCAGCCTGAGAGAAGGCTACATCCATATAGTCCTTTCTGGTCCTTGACCTACAGTGTGGAGAGTCAGGCTCAAGAAATAGCAGGCTCAAACAAAATGGCCAAGTTTTTCCTTCTACCATTTTTCCAAGATCATGCTTGGAGATTTTCATGATAGCTTCATTTTTAAGCAGAATTTCTTTGGGTAATATTTTTAATTCTAAGGAAGGAAAATAAAGTCATTCCAATTGGTTTTGGTAAGAATTAAAATAAGCTGAAATGAAATGAATAGTAAGCAAAATCTGGGCTCTAGAAAGGATTTTATAAATTGGTGAGCCACAACACACACTGCTGCTTAGGTAGAACATGGCATCAGAGCCCATTACCTGGCATTTTGTAACATGGACATGTATACAGAGGGTAATCATGACTTTTTAAAATTCTCATGTTAATCGTACAATATTTTATTTAAACCAATTTCTGACATCCATATTAGTATAATAGAAAAGTACCCAAGTAAACCACTATTTCTCTCTCTCTCTCTCTCTCTCTCTCTCTGTTATAAGAATAATAGAACTGCGCCAGTGCTGGGGAAAAAAGAAAAGGTGCTAGGATAGGATCAGAAAGTTTCAGAAACCCAGTAGAAAGGGACCAGAGAAAAGGGCTTAGATCCACAAACAAAAAAGATGAAAAATTGTACCTGAAATACCAGTAGTAAGCTCTTTCTCCCCAGGGAACATAGTTAGGATGGGCCAGCCTGCAGTCATCAGGGAATTAATTGAAATCCCTCCTTGCAAATGAGCAGGCCCATAAAACAGCCATGCCTCCCCACCCCTCGCCCAGTATGGGGTGTGCTTTCTCACAGACATGATATTTGCTCCAGGATAAAGTTTGAAGGGTTAATAATTAGACTAAGAAAATTAATCTTTTGCCTGAAGAAAGCACCGGACTTTGGTGAAGGAAAGTGAAAGAGAGCAGGGAAGAGTTCAGAGTTAAATCCCAGCCCCAACTAAAATGTTCACACTGTTCACGGTAGAGTGCTGCAGTAAGGGCCCTGCTGCTAACTTGGGATGCTCAGTCCTAAAGTGAAGACCTGCTGTGAAGTCTGTTGGTCAAGCCATTTTCATTTAAGAGAGAAGCTCACTGTAGAAAGAAACCTACACAACTATGCAGAATATTTACTCCAGTTATCAATCCGATTAATCAGCCTAGTCTTGATTCATGTATTGAACAAACAAATGCAAAACATTTGCTATTTGAAGAAAATCAACAGCGTGGGAAGGAATGAAATAAAGAAAATCTAACAAATGTCTTAGGTGTCAAAACATAAAGCAGATAATTTAGGGAACTGAAGAAAGCTTTAAGAAAGGTATTAAGTGACTCAAAACAGCTGGCTAGTTGTTACTTTTATTAAATAGCCGTCATTTATGATACATAATCAATAAATCAAAAAGTACAAACAAATCAATTGTTTGATTAGCAAAGATAACAATCACAAAAACTGAAAATAATAGAAGTAGCAAAAATGGTGGTAGCAGTTCCTATTCTGTAGCAGAGTCACCATAGTCTAGCTGTAGTTGACAAATTAAGAATTGAAGTAGTAATAACATGACAATCCAGCAGAAACAGTTTGTTAATTGGGAGTGGGGGTAAGAAACTGTTTCTATTTTGCTTATTTTTAAGAGTCTATATGTGGAGACAGTGATGTAATTACAAACATGGGCCATCACATCTGGCTCATGGACTACTTTTCAATACATTGACATCTTCATATATTTCAAATGACTGTTATGAGAGAAAGCTCCCTACAAAATTGTAGTTAAAATGAAATGTACCCAATTAAAGCATAATACATACCACTATTTCAGAACTAAGAAACAGAAATAATTTACATCAATATAATATTTAGAAATACTTTATTTTAAGACTAAGTAATTTTTAAAAATTAGATGAAATCTAAGAACTGGTTAAGCTATAACACTATGGCAAGTCAATATTAAATGTATAAAAATGAAAATATTGTTAAAATATATGTGCATATTTAATGCATCAGGTAAAGTCATCAAGCATTCTATGAAGTGTCATTTAACTTAACAAATGATAAGGCATTTATAAATGGAATCTTAATAGAAGAGTAAACACTGAAAATACTGTACCTCCATTAACTCACATTACAGTAAATCTTTTTATCCTCTACACTCACAAATAATTTTTACTCTTGAAATAGTTATAGGAAATATCAGAGAGTAAGTGATAAAAAACTGGGTTTTTACTTCACACTGTTCAATAGGTCTGCTTCAGTTCCATTACTATGTCTGCCTCACATTTAAGTTACCAGGGAAAGAATTTAGTCAAGCAAGCTAAGTTGTATTTTGTAGGCAAAACTTTTAAAATATTATGTTATATAATTATTGTATTTTTAAATTAAATTTATTCAAATCAGGTCCTTTGTGCATAAACAATTTTGTCTTACACATGTTCACACACACACATCCCAAACAGTTAAGAACTATACTAAATATAATCACAGGACATATATTGTATTTTCCGTAGTTTCGATTGTTACATTAAATGTACAGAAAAACGTAAGGATCCTATTTCTCTAAATTATAATTGTAAATTATAAATTTATGAATTCTAAATTCTAAATTATACAATTGTATCTTAAAGCACATTAAAATATACAGCCATACATAAACTCCCACAAATTTTTTATTAGTAATATATATGAGTTATACTCTAGTGGTCTTAACTTTGGAATATTTATATATTCATATAACATACTTTGATATTAGCCTGCTTACCCTTTCCTCTCCTTTCCTCTTACTCTCACCTTTTTTCTCCTAGTCCATTTTCTCCTTTCATGTCATCTCTCTCTCTTTACATTCTACACATATATTTTAAAACAACACACTGGAATGTGTATTTTTCAATAAGTGTGCTCTACAAAATTGTTTTCTTAAACTTTATCGGGCATATAAATTAACTGAAACTCTTGTTAGAACGCAGATGGTAATTCAACAGGTCTGTGGTGAGGCCTGAGACTCTGCATGGCTAATAAATTCCCAGGAGAAGTGAGGTAGCTCATAGAACACACTTCGTAGGGAGAAGCTCAGGAATGAATGTCTCCCGGCTTCACTAATCATGAGTCAACCACCTGGAGCAGTTGGCATAAACAGATTTTTCTGACCTTTTCACTAAAAGTAATAAATCTCTAAGTTTGGGGCACATTTCAGAAAAATGTGCCCCAGACAGTTGTCAAAGTATAGAAAACATTTAAAGAATAGCAAACTTAATAAAACAACAACAACAACACTCCTTCCATTCTTCATATTATTTACAAAACTATTTACATATGGTATCAGAAAATTTTTTCTTGGTCATAAAAAAACTACTGCAGGATGATACATGGAACAAAGAAAAAAATTTGGAAAACTGCGTACCATTCATTATGTTTCCATTCAAAGTTACTTCCCTCTCGAGGGTACAGTTATTTTGATTAAGCATAACAAATGACAAAAAGAAAGCAAAGTTCCAAAGATGCAAAGCAAAGTATTAGTTTTAAAGCACCTAGAATGTGTTAGACAGGGTTACTTTTGTGTATGACAATACTTATACTATTCTGTAGAGGGGAAATATGAGATAATTTATCCTCAGACAGTCACACTCTGGCAAAGAAAATGAACAAAGGTAGAGTGGGTTTCCATTCCATGCAGGTTTTATGGGAGGAGATGAAAGTTTCTCAGCCAGATCTGATGGGGACACTATGAACTGTACCACTTGGGGTAGCAGAAAGGAAGCTGACAATGGCCAGAGGTGAAAAAAAGTGGGAACATATTTAGGGCAGAGTGAATACTTGATTAATTTTGGGAGTAGGTTAAAAATAGGGAGTGACAAGACACATGACAGGAGGGGAGAGTTTAGAAAAATAGCACAGACTAAAGAATGCCAAATAAGTGTTGTAACTGTCAAACAGAAGAGAAGATTTAGTGAGAATAAAGTGTTGGTTTAAGAAAGACAAGGAAATATAAACTGATAGGAAAAATAGAGGAAAGTTTGGTTTGAATCTTTAAAAAATCATCAAAATTTGAGAGCAAGAATTGGAACACCACCTAATAACTGTCAAATTCTTTTTCTGTACTAGTTTGAAGGGGGTGGAGCTGAAATCCCTGGTTCATAAAAGGCTTAGAGCAGTAAAGTAAAAGGTGTAAAACTAGAGTAAGAACCTTCAAATATTCAGGTGCTGTTCTAATGTGTATGTGTGGAGACTTTCTTAAAAGAACATTTGGGGTTGAGTAAAACAAAATGAGTAAAATATCACACAAAGATATACAGAATACACCTTGGACTTAGATCTGAATTAGAAACTTGGCTCAATCAAATGCTAAAATGTGAATCCAGGCAGGTTATGGTACTTCTCAGTAATGCTGCTTCTTTAAGAGAAAACTTAAGGGTAAATGGACGCAATAAAATTACTACAAAGGACTGATGCAACTCAAAGAGTGGGCTTTGGCTAAAGTGATTCATGGCCATTTTTGCCTCATAAAGCCAGACATATTTGTTATCTGTTCAAAGCCATAAGAGCAAAACAGAAAAACAATTTAATTCACTTTGGAGAGAATCAGCAAATTTTCTCAAAAAGTGCCTGGGGTGGAGGGAGAAATAAAAAAAATATTTTGGCTAGGATGTTAAAATAAATTATTGTCAGTAAAAATGACAGAGGAACTTCTTGCTCAGATGTCCCAGAAAATAATTCGAGAGTATATACTTTGAAATGTAAATCACCAATTCATGAAACTGTACAGTTTAAGATCCACTTTGTAAGCAGAGACATTATCTGCTGCGAGTGGGCAACTATTTTTCTGAGAGGGATTGTTTACTGCTGTCAGCCATCAATTTAAGAGTAAACACGTGTTTCAGGCTCTTCCCTGGGAATGACAGACAAAGGCAAACTGATGGAGAGAAGTGGAAAACAAAGCCCAGGGATTGGCTTCAGGACAATTACCTGGACACAACAGAGAGAAAACTTGGTTGGGGACAGACGGAAAGGAGGGTATGCAGCTCAGAACTGAGGATAGATCAGCACAGATGGAGTGGTGAAGACTCACTGGGAACTCCAGGAGCACGGTCCCTGCTTGTGTCTTCTGTTGTTTGTTTTTGCTTTCTTATGTTTTAGTTCCAATCTTATCAAGACAATAGACGGGGTTTTGAGGCTTTTCTTACCACAACTTTGCATCCATATTTTATGTACTAAATGTGAATTTAAGCAGTTACATGTATATCTAAGGAGAATTTTGTTGCTGGGGTTATTGAGCTGCTATTGCAATTTAAAAGTTACTATACAGTGTAAAAGGGACCTCGTATTACTTCCAGAAAGATTTTCCTCATCCATTCCTTTGTTCATAGACACATAGGCTTCCCACCTGTAACCTTGATGTCATCATTTTCTATTCATTCACCTTTCAAACTGTGTTTCAGTTCTATTCATTTCCATTTTGCATTTTTCATCTTTTAATTTCCTCTCTCCCTAGGACCTTCTTCCATTTTGCTTTCCTCTCCAGCCACCATTTTATCATCTTCCCCTTTATTAGAATTTTTCCCAAAGGGCTAGTGTATTGCTTGTCATTTTTACATATTCCCATTTCAGTCACCATTGAAGTCACTGCAACGGAGTGACTGTTAACTGAGGGTGTTTAACAAACTTGCCACGATTAACAGTTTTCTGTCGGTCTCATTCTACAGTCCTAAAACTACACTTCTGCCTGTGCTATGCCAACCACTCATAGCTTTGAAATAACCTCTTTCAGGTTTACAGGGAATGGGGGGATAAGTAGGCAGAGAACAGAAGATTCTCAGCGGGATGAATACATGCTGTGATACTACAATGGTAGGTTCACATAATATATCTTTGTCCAAATCTGTAGCACAGACAGCACCAAGAGTGAACCATGATATAATGGACAGCATTTTAAGGATGATTCAATATAGTATCTTAATGGTGACAATCATGTCACTTTGGTAGAGATGTTGATCTTGCAAGGCTATAGGGGTGGAGGATGTATGGGAAAGCACTATATCTCCATCTCAATTTGTCTGTGAACCTAAAGCTGTTATTTAAAAAATATTGATTAAAAAAGAAGATCTTGTGCATGTGTGTGTGTGCTTTTTCTCCTGTCCTCAGACCACTGGCTCCTAGGTCTCCACTGTCTCACATTCACATTCCTTGCTGCTTCTTTCTTCCCTTCGCTGGGGTCTCAGACTTCTCTGTGCCCCTTCATCTTCCCAATCTCCAAGATTATGTATGTACCTCTCTCTACAACTTCCAAAAGTGCGTCATCTCCAGTGGAGTGCTCTCAGTCAGAGCTGAAGAGGTCACTGCTCAGTAAAATCTGTCACCTCCAGGTTCCAACTGTTCTTCCAAACCTCCGAATAATCCTCAGTTCTAGGACACCAGGCTCACAATCAATCAAGCAAAGTACAATAGCTAGGTAGAAAATTCCAAGAATCTCAGTCTCTTGTATTTCTCTAATTATCAACATAGTTTTAAAAATAAAACCATTGTATTCTTCCTTAAGTTCATCACGTTATTTCCTTATTTTGTTCTCCTAGTTAAGATTACTACCGTTGGTTATTTGTGGAAAACATCCCCTAAACTGGATACATAAATCCCAATTTTTTTCATTCCAATCAGTTCTTCCTCTTTGTCCCATGGATGTCTCTAAGTAGGATGGTCAAATTATATTGCACACACTCCTTTGTTTAAAAAGTTTTAGAGCACTGGGGTCTTTTTTTAAAAAGGCATTAAAACTTGACATGATGCCATGTACCTATAATTCCAGCATGCTGTGAGGTTGAGGCAGGAGCACCTCAAAAAGTTCAACTTTTGGATACACACACACACACACACACACACACACA